AGAAAGAAAGAAAGAAAGAAAGAAAGAAAGAAAGAAAGAAAGAAAGAAAGAAAGAAAGAAAGAAAGAAAGAAAAAGATACTAAGAGGGATGGATAGATGGATGGAGATAGATAAAAGAAAAACAATAGATGATAGATAGACAGATGGAGAGACAGAACCACTAAGACATGCAAGACATCTTTGGATTCTGTGGCTGTGAAATGATGACAAGGGCATGCATAATCCTAAGTTAGACAAGAAGCTCCAGAGCAAATCTCCACCTTAGCTTGGGCTGCTCACAATGAGTGTACAATGTAGTGATAGTTTACAAAAGCCTCACCTGCCACAAAGAGATTAAATGAGGCTTTGGCCTTTAGTTAACCTGGATGTTGCTCATAATGGGAATCTGTTCAGTTTCTATTAGGGCTATTTTGTGAAGCTGCCCTTTGGAAGCAGAAATGTGCCAAGAGCTGTGAATGCCATGGAAACCTGTCCTTTCCATTTGTATTAAGCCGGTTACATAAATCAACCTTCATGACCTCTGCATAGTCAAACATTTCTGCTTCTCTTAATTTAACTATAAGGACCTTCCAATTCAACTTGGGTGACTATCATTGCCTAGTAGTCTGGCTCAGGGTGATATACCATCCCTTCCTTGGCTTGATGGCTCAAGAAGACTCCTACTAAAGCAGGATGTTACTGGATGATTTGAGCACAATGACACTGATTTCCTTTCACCCCTTTAGCCATTGAAGAGAAGTAGGCTGTTGTAAGGAGCACAGGGAATGCCCTTGAAGAATAGGAGGAATTGCCGCTACTAAAGCAATGGTCAGATAAGAGGGATTTGAGTCCTGGCCAAGAAAATAACTTGAGGAAACACTTCAGATGAGCCTGTTTCATGTGAAGAGAAAGCCAGGGAGGAGGAAGCACACTGAGGTTTGCACAGTTCTCTTTCTGTAGCCATAACAGTAAACACAGTCCTGACTTATCAAGCATTCATGTCTCAGTCTGGTCTACTTTGTAGGATCAACATGTGTTGAGGAAGTCTCCATAGAACCCAGGTGGAGCAGAATAGGTTCCTCTATTCCAATCCCAAGGATGACTTTCTTTCCTATAATTCCCTGGGGCTCAGTTTGGAAATCATCCCTGTAGGTCTAGATTCTCCAAAGCACCAGAGGCCAGGACAAGAAAAACAAAATTGGAAACTAAATCAATGAGAGAAGCAACCTGGAATTAAGGAGAAACTTCCTAACAGTGAGGACAATTAGCCAGTGGAACAGCTTCCCACCAGAAATCATGGCTGCTCCATCACTGGAGGTTTTTAAGAGGAGACTAGACAGCCACTTATCTGAAATAGTATAGGTTCTTCTGCTTGAGCATGTGGCTGGACTAGAAGACCTGGACAAGAAGACCTTCCAGTTCTATTCTATTCTGCATTCTAGAGTGTGAAACTTCTCCTTTCCATAGAAAGAGGAATGCTACCAGTAATGAATCAAAACATGCTAGCCTCTGTGGGACTTTCCTTTCCCTTTTTAGATCACAGAAGAGGAGTTGAATATTTTTAAAATATTCTACGTATTAAAAGTCACATGCCTTTTTGATAAGTTACCGAGAGTTTCCCTGACACAAAAAGTAAGAATAAGAATGTACAAGATGAATGGTAGGCCAGCAAGGCATCAGTAAGCTCTGTCCTCAAACACCTGGCCAATTTTGAGCAGCATTGCCCATCATTCTTACCACACCAGAGCCCCTCTTCATCCAAACGATGGTCAGAGATGGGTTTCCAATCCAGGCACAATTGAATACGGCATCGGATCCAAGATCAACAAGAAGAGACTGTGGTTCCGTCATCATGCGTGGCCCAACTGAAATTTTAAAAAAAAATTGTTGCAGGACAGGACAGCCTCTAAAATTTAAAATAGTCATCACAGCAAATACGAAAAAGAAATAACCCCAAATGAACATTATAGCTTAAGTTTGAATGAATTGTTCTTGCTTTTGTGGCCTAAGGCCTTACCTAAATAAATGTTTATTCCAGATCTTTTGTTAGGGAAAGTATTATTATTAGGATCAAATATCGTTGGCATATCGTTCTCATTTTCTGACCTTGTTATGTTTTTTAATCAGACTATCTCATTTTTAAAGAAGCATTCAAAAGTGCATCCCCATCAATTGGTCCATGGCCATATTTTGCCCTGCAACACCCCATCACCACCTCCAACACAAGATGTTAAATGTGTTGAGCAGTGTTCTAGTAATTCAGTAGTTAAGCCATACTTACAATAGACATCGACTGTTCTGCTGATGTTGGTACTGCCCAGAGCATTGGTCACCTCACAAGAGATGGGTTCAAAGAAATAGGTGAAGTCAACAATGGTCTCATAAGCATCACTTGATGCTTCCTTTATAATGTGGCCCTTTTTGGCCCACCTGTCAAGTAACAAAAAGAAAATACCAGGGTTGTGTTAAGACGATGTACATGGAGAAATCAAACTTCAGCTTTACAGAAGAGATAAGGCAGGAGATTAAAAACACAACAGAAGATAAGCAATTGGAGATGATGCTGGATGTTAGATACTGCAGAAGTCTGATGCACATGAATACACTGCAATATGGAACCCATGTAAAATACCAAGTTCCTCGAGTAATTTTCTATGTGTCAACTAAAACATTTGTTTTCAGTGACTTGCAGGGAGAAGGAGAAAACTGCTGGATCAGCCATTCAGTCAATCCTTGCTTTGTTTTAAATTATAGATAAGTGTAAAACTACCAGATCAGCAAAGAAAGGCACCCATGCCACACAAATTATTTATTTCATATTGAAAGTTTATATCCTGGCTTTCTTCCCCCGTGGAACAAGATGCAGGGCAACCAGGTGTGATGAGGCCAGTAGCTGCTCAATTTCAGTGAATTCATTGTGTACGATGTCCTGGGAATTTGCTGAGGGAAGCATCCATGATGGTTTTTGTATTCTGTTGGTCTTCTCAAGGCAATTTGTTTGTTTTTTTATCCATTGATTTAACAGTAAAACAGTTGTGGATTCTTGATGTATTCTTTTCTATTGCTAAATGTCTCTGAGTGTATAGCATAGAAGAAGTTTTGTGCATAAGATAGGAAAACCTAGGTTTAAGTCCCAGCAGACCATAAAATTCATTGTGTGATTTGAGGTCAGTTGGTACTTCTTGACTCAGTTTGATTAATTGGATCATTCCAAGACTTCAGTAAAATAAGGGCACGTGAACAAGGAAATCAACCTTCCTTCTAAAAAAAAGTACAGGAGGGTGACTAAAGGGGGAGATAAATAAGTAGCTGAAAACAAATCAAGTTGCTGGGGAAAAAAATCCATGAATCCTTACTCTAGAAACAGGTGGGACAATTCTACATTTTTTTTCTCACAGTGTTCTTTTATTTGGCAACTGAAGATCAAATGACTCATCGGGGACAAAACTATGTGATAAAAGAAAAGTATTTTTCCAACTCTTCATCCTTTCAGACTTGGGATAGGGAGAAAAGAGGTAATACATGACCAGTAAATTGTTCTAAATTTTCCTCTTGGATTGTGGAGTTTGATTGAAGGTTATTTGGGCTCTTTTAGATCCATGGTCCCAACTGTTAAACTCTTTCCAGTTCAATTCAACCATTTTCCTTTCTCCTTCTTCCAAATGTTGCACTTTCAAACATCACCGAAAATGGAAGCTGAAGGCTGAGAAAAGGATGAAGGTCATTGCTTTCTAGTCTCTGCAGTTCCAATTCAATGAATGGGAATTCCAAATTATCTTGGGGCCCTAAAGGATTAGGGACTGCACTGAAGTAATACATTTGCACTGGCTTGGTAGAAACCAAAGGTTAACTGGGAAGGAGAAGAAATTGAAGAAGAAAGAAAGGATTTACATTAGCATGTAATTGATGCAACCGAGCTATTTTAATGGATGGAAGACACCTTTCTAAACATCTTAGAATACACCTGAAGTTTTTGCACTTTGGCTGCACATGAGCAACACTTCTAAGATTCTAATTCTGTGGACATTTTGCCAGGATATGTCACCTCTTGCTTGCCTACAGATGGCTGAATCTGTGGATAGTATGGATTTCAAATATGTCCATAGTAGAAGATGATGCTAAGCTATCTCCTGGGGTTGAGACCATCTGTAATGCTGATTCCAACTAAGATGTACTAGAAAGTTCATCCATCTCTGCTAACTGAACAAGACTTTCCTTAATTGACTCTTTTTTTCCCTCCATTATATAATCTGTTGTTCCTGGCAGTGAAGCAGGCCAACACCAACTGTTTTTTGTTATCTATGAAATATGTGTGTAGGATGTGTAGTCTTTTGGCACACTGCTTAAACACAATCCCTAAAATAAGTTGGAGGAAACTGTGGCTTAATGCCAGCATGCATGATATATATGCAAATGCCCATGAAGCTGAATCCCTACTATTTTCCAGTATTTGTCAAAAGGAAAAAAAATTGTGGAAGAAATAAAGATTTTAGTGTTTTGTCTAGATCTGAATCTCTGTGTATTCAACCATGGTTGTGTGTCTGAATAAAAGTGGCACTCCTGTTATTATCCTCATTTTTTATAGCTATATTATAGTTAAATCCACACAGACTATGCTTGGATTAAAAGAAAGAAATAATTCTAGATATTTTATAAATCTGTCTCTAAAGTGCTAAGCATGAACCATTTTTCAATTTAAATTCTTTTAGAGCCATTTAGAAAATTATGTAAAAGAAATCAGCATATTTTCAGAAAGCTACAGCTCCACTGCTGTAAATAGTGCATTTCATAGGATGTTGCGTAAAAAGGGGTTGCAAGTAAACTTGGAGAAAAATGGCAAGAGTTATGTAGCACGTAACTCTAAAGGTTGACTCAGCCTTCCATCCTTCTGAGGTGGGTAAAATGAGGACCCATGAGGACCAATGAGATGGTTGGAAGCAAGAGGCTGACTCTGTAAACGCTTAGAGAGGCTGTAAAGCACTATGAAGTGGTATATACATCTAAGGGCTATTGCTGTTGTAGAAAGACACATCACAGATTAACATATTGTTTTTGTTGCTGTTGCATTTAAACATCATTTTGCTTTGCTGATGGAACTGAAATGATCATGAAGCTTAATGTCTATGAAGAGTCTCAGTCATCCAAGTTAAGGTTGTCCTAAAGATTCTTTTCTTTGTTTTGCTTGAAGACGTTTTGCTTTTCATCCAAGAAGAAGTCAGAAGAACAAGCTTCCTGGATGAGAAGGAAAACTTCTTCAAGGAAAAACAAAGAAAATCCAGTTGCCTTTTGGAAAAAAAAAACACTTTTGGGATGATTATAAAGTTCGGAATTTGGGCCCATTCAAATTTGCCTTTTGTTGGATCTTGTATTTTTTTTTGTCTCCAATGAGAGAAGATGCTTTGAAGAGGTCTTGGAAGATCTAACGTGGTCTTCTTGGCAAGATGGGTGGTAAATGTAATAAACAGATTGCAATCACCTCCATTCCATCCAAGTTTCTGGAAGATGGAGTAACAGAGATTGGGGGAGTGAAGTGAGCTAAGTCAGTTTGCATTGACAGCTGTTAGAGAGAGATGGAAAGGAGTGGGGCTGCATTACTTGAGCGCTCCTACTGGAATAATCATTGAATACTTGCAACCCAATGTCAATGGTAGTTTGAAACCTTGCAAATAACAATGAGTCTTCTAAAAATTTTTAAGAAAAACTGTGCTGACTGGAGTTTTGCCCAAAATGTCCATCATCCTAAGCCTGATTCAAATAGCCCACATCTTTTCTGGAAACATACAAGATTACCAAAGCCATTGGATTTGATTATCATGGGCGAGAGCAGAAGGATTTGAAGGAGGAGGAGGAGATTCAGCCTTTATGGAGCAGAGGGGCTTCTTTAAATCCCCTTTGTCAGGTGTGAAAAATCAGGACCACACATTAAGCTCCAGTTAACAAGATTTATTGCTCGTGCCTAGATTTTATTTACATTTATTTGTCAAATGAAAATTGTGCATTTGAACGAGCAAAATGAAAACATTTGAAATGTGATGAGGATAATAGGTACGTTAGTGAACTTACACACACACACACACACACACACACACACACACACATAGAGTCTCTTAGGAAACTCTTAAATATGGGGTGAGATCCACAAAAGTTAAGTTAGAATAACACTGTGAAAATTAATAGCTGAGACAACTGAATACACAAGAATCTAGTCAACTAACAGTCAGGTGCTGGATAAGAATGAATGGAATTCAAGGGGGACTTGGATCACCTGTAGCAACAGGATGACTCCAGACTGATTTCTCTCTTGACTTCACCCCAGGCTCTGCACTCCTTCTCCTACACCATATCCCATTCTAACAGGCTGGATTAAACTCATAGTGTGGAACTTTGCCTCTCTGCTTTAACCTTGCCTGAGTACAGATGCCATGGAGTACTGTTGGCATTTATAAGAACGTTTCAACTTCCAGAGTCCAAAATCGAGAAGGACCATTATGCAAAGTAGGCCCAACCTGGCTGAAAGAATTCAATCCAGAGTCTTGCCAAGTCATGCATTCAGATTGCATGAAAATCCACTTCTTTCCTCTTGGAATCCTCTCCTCTCTTCCTCCTTCCTCCCTTTTAATCAAAGGGAACATTATCCCTTTAAAAAGCAGTTGAAATAGCATCACGCTGGAAAGCCACGCTGGCATCTGAAACACTGCAGTGGGAAAATTGTCTTTGAAGACAAGCTGTCAACTCAGCACTTGAATTAAACTGCTGTTTACCAAACAATAAGCAAACGTGACCTAATGGAACACCATCTGGCACCTTGCCACTTTAAGGATGGGTGTTGGAACTGCTTGGAAAGAGAAACTGTCAGTGTGTGTTAGACTGGATCAAGGGAGCTTGGGGGGAAAATATATTCTGGCAATAGGTAAATCTGCAGGAAAAAAACCCAAATCTAAGTCTCAGAAGCTTGTTACCTTCAAATCAAGGCTTTTCTTTGCTACTGATTTTTTTTCCCTAAAAAAACAACAATAGTTTGTGATATTTTTTTTTCCTGACATTGCAAGTAAGATGCACTAGAAGATCCTTTTCTCTTTAGCAAATCCAAGGCAGACACAGACCTACATTCTGCAGTCAGGTGAGAAAGACGAGACTCATTTTTGTGTATGTGCACCACAAATACACAAATACATTTCCTTCTCATTAGAAAAAAAGAGAGTTGTAAAAGCATGGATCAATAGCAACAATCCCAAATGATGATCTTTATCAGAAATGCAAATATGAGCTTATTTAATGCTAAACAGAAGAGCACCAAATCGTTGCATTCTCCTCACATGAAAAAGTGATCACAGGGGGAAGTTATCTTGCAGGATGGCAAAAACAATCCATCTTCCATTTTGTTTACCTCAAAATGCTCAAAAGCAATCTCTCTACAGTACAAACAGCAG